CCCAAGTAAAAGGCCGTTTTCTTAGTTTGGTAGCGGAGCTGGTCTCCTGCGTAAATCCAGACGCCCAGGGGCTACTGAAAGCTCTTAGGAGCTTTGCGCTCCCATAGGCGGCGCGGCGCGCTCTACTACCTCCAGGACGTCGCCGATTACACGAACCGTTGGTTGGCTGTTCTTGTTGAACAAGGGCATCGCACTGCCCAACAGCCACAGCAAATTCGAGGCTGCAATCCGCGCAGCAGGAGGAAACTCCCACGACAAACCGCACTACGAGCACTACGAGTCCGAGCTCTACGGGAGCCACGCGGACACCGTTTTTCCATTTGAGTTCTTCGGCTACCAGTTTTCCCTGACCAGTGAGGTTGCGATTGAGGACTACGTGTACGTGGGAAAAGCAGATTGGAAACAGCCTTGTGGTGCAGGCAAGGAGCAAGAGGCGAACTTCAGCGACTTCGAGACCCTCCTTGGGAACACCTACTTCGGCACGAGCGACCTCGACCTCTACTACCAGAAGGAAAGCAAAAGCAGTGCCATCGCTCTTTTCACAGGCGAGATGGCGGATGTTCCGAGCTCTGCCGGAGGTATACCCTTGCACGAGTTTCGGCGTGAAGTTCCCCCTGGCTGGGCACCTGGGATACCTGAGTATCCCCTTCGCTTGTACTTTGAGAGGCTGAAGCTTTGGTATCGGGTGTTCGACGGCCAGGATGAGACTGTGGGCCCTCTGGTGGCAGGCCGTCTCTAAGGCAAGGCGCAACGCCTTGGAATGCAGCTTAGGCTGCCCAGGCCAGACGGCTCAGTGGACGTGGGCTCGGACGCTCTAGTGAGACTTTCGGTCGAGGAGGTCAGAGATCCTATGGACCCGTCCACAGTGGGACAACAAGCTATACCAAGCGGAGTACAAGCACTTTGCAATGCTCTACGTGACGCCTTCGGCCTGAGTGACCAAGAACTCGTCAGCAAGGCCATAGAGGACTTCTTCGAGAGTTCAAAAGAGGAAAACTCAGCCTGGCCGAGTATAGCATCGAGTGGGACTCCCGCTTGGAAGAGGCAACCACTCATGCCGGCTTGGAGCTGAATGATGTTGGCAAGTACTACCTGTTCTTCCGGAACTCGGGCCTGGCGAGCAAGTTCCTGGATGACATCAAGCTACAGATCAAGGGCGACCTCCGCAGGTTCCAGGAAGCACGGTCGCTGGCACTTCGGCTGGTGACTCGGAAGGACGACCTCGGAGAAAGCTACTACCAGGATGAAGAGAACCTCGACCAAGGAGCCTGGGACGACTCGTATTGGGTCGAAGACGGGTGGTCCTGGGTCGAGACACCTCCGGACGGCGACTACTGGACCGAGAGCCCTGAGGACTATTGGGGCTACGACTCGGATGTGTGGTATGGTGCGGAGGAAAGCTGGATCGAAGCAGACTATGATGACTACTATGACGAGCACACTGACTACCACAATGAGACCGCGGACCAGGAGACGAACTCCCCGGACGATTCCGGACTGTCTCCGAAGTCACCGGAGAGCTACCCGGTGAAAGGCGGTGGCAAAGGCATGGGCTGCTCAGTGTGCGGATCAAGGTGGCATTCGGCTTCCTCGTGTCCTGTTGGAGGCTCGAAGGGCAAGGGCTTCCGTGGACCGGCCAAGGGCTACGGCAAGGGCAAGAAAGGCTTTTACAGGCCAAAAGGAAAAGGAAAAGGCAAGCGGCGACCTGGCAAAGGAAAGGGCAAGCAGAAGGGCTACTACGGCTACAGCCAGAAGACCTTGGCCCAAAGCTTCACCGCGAGCCAGTCGACCTTTTCCCCTGTGAAGCCTACCAAGACAGTCCACTTCAGGCTGGATCACGAGGACAGCGCCACCGTGATCAACTTGCGGAACAAGGAGGACAACGACAGGATCGAGGCCGCAGCCAGCAGCAGCAGCCAAGATGGAGGAGCGCAAAAGAGGCTCGACTTCACCTTTGCCACCAGCATCTATAACACCGTGACTTCGTACCACACGGTTCGAGGAGAAAAACGAAGAGGACTGCTGGTCGATCCGGGAGCGGCTTCTGGACTCATCGGAAGTGAGACTCTCAGAGATATGATGGCTAGTTGCCTGGATGAGGACCAGAGCGAGTCCGTGAAGTGGTGCCACGACAAGACAAACAACGTCAGCGGCATATCCGGGACAGCAGAGTAAACCTTAGGAGAAGTTCATCTCCCTGTCAAGATGGCCGGCATTTCCGGCACCTTTTCGGCTGACGTTCTTGGAGGAGAAGGTTCGTTGTGCCCGGCTTTGCTTTCTAACCCGGCTTTGAGGAAGCAAAGAGCCACGCTCATGTGCGACTACTTTGGAAACGGCGATGGCGTGATGGTGGTTCCAGTGACAGCCACTGATGCAGACGGGCAACAACGACCCTCTGGCTGGCACTACATGAGGATGCTCCTCACGGACTCCGGCCACTACCTCCTGCCGGTGGACGACCAGCGTCAGGTCTCCAACCACACGAGAAGCGAGATCAGCAAACAGATGTTCACGTGGTCGTCTGAGATCAGTCAAAAGTGGAACGATGTACGTCACTGTTTTCTGGTGCAAGAGAACAAGCCCGGAGACAAGGACACATGTCGGGAACGTGAGCGGTGTGAACCGGAAAACAAGGAGACCGATGAGCCCGGGAGAACGACAGACTCGAATCCACTGGAGACTACCACCTCGACTACCTCTGTGGCTGGTTCGCCAGCATCGACAACAACATCTGGCGGATCTTCACCGTCAACGACCACAGCGACCTCGGCAACTACAGTCGATGAAGCAATGCCGACTTCGGTTCGAGCTGCAGACAGCTCTTTTACGACAGGCTCGAATCCGAAGACCACCACATCGACTACCTCTGGCGTTTTTATTGATGTTGCCGACACACGGTCTGGTCCTTTGAACGCAGGAGTCAGTGGTGACATTTCTCCCACTGCACTTCCTTGCAAACCGTTTCTTGACAGCCCCACGAGCACTAGACACGGCCCAGACATTGACTCGTGGTCGGTGGAAGACGGATTCCTGGTGCGCCACCACAAGGTGCCTCGGCGAGTGCTGTTCACACCTCAATGCGCTGAACAGTGCCCTGTGGATCATGGCGTGATCTACAAGGAGCGGACCACCTACATGAAGTACGTGCCGAGGAAGCACGGAGAAACGGTCATTCAGGATGACTGGAGGCATGCCAAAGTGCCCAACCGTGACATGGAGCAGCTTTGGACAGGGCGCACAGTGTTCAAGATTGCCAAGCAGACTGGAGCTGAGACCGCTACGTCGCTGGCTACGTCTTCGTTTGGCTTGAAGGAGGAAGACTTTCCCCATTACGAGGGCGACGCATGGCCCTCTCATTGGAGTGAAGCCCGCAAGGAGGCGATGCAAGTCAAACACAAGGGAATCCCGGAAGAATATTATACCAAAACAGGGAGAAAACCAATTACTCCCGGCAACCTGCGGCCATGGTTGGCTGCTTCTTCGAAGCAAGGACTCCGGTGGCAGTTTTGGGAGATGTGCTCTGGATCAGGACGTTTGAGCTTGTTTTTGCTGACAGCTTCCGTCATGACAGGGTTTCCCGTGGACTATAGGTACGGCTGGGACCTGGCACATCCTGAACATCAGAACCTTCTTGACCTGTGCTATCAGGAGTTCCAGCCGGCGCATGTTTTCTGTGCTCCAACGTGTACTCCCTGGTCCAATGCCTCTGCAGCCAAAGATCGGGAACTTCGTGCTCAGGAACGACAACAAGAACTACCAACGCTTGAGTTCCTGCACGAGATCTTGCTGCAGCAGCACAACCAGAACCGGGGCTTCAGTTTGGAACAGCCCTGGAGCTCAGCGAGGCTGATTGACAGCCCGATCGCCAGATTGCGCGACGTGGCTGGTGTTCGAGTATGGAGGACGGACCAGTGCATGCTTGGAGCCCGAGACGAGAAGAACTCGCCCATTCGCAAGACCACCGGCATTCTCAGCAACCGACGATGGTCCAAGGTGATCAAGAGGTGTGACAACCATCGCGGTCAACCCCACGGTGTTCTTCAAGGGCAAGTTCGTGGTGTCAACAGGACAACCCTGGCAGCGGTGTATCCAAAGCGGTTGTGTCAGTTGTATGGTCAAGACCTTTGGTCTGTCCTCCGTAAGGACATGGCGATGACCTACAAACCGTGGCCAAGGCAACTGCTATGGACCCACTCTCTGTACTACTCTTGTGAGCGTTGCCAAATGGGCCGAGCTGCACCGCCTGGCGTGGAACACAACATGATTCCGGGGCAATGCAGGTATGGACAACCTGGCATGCGACGGGCCAGAGCGGCAGCGCCTGTTCCAGAAATACCACAAGCACAACCAGCAGCTGCGGCGCCAACGCTACCACCTCCGACAACCACCGGGGCACCGTCGGACACTTCTTCTCCGATTGAGGAGGCAGCCAAGGTTCTGGCCTCGCCCCAGCGCTCAGATCTGGAAGACGCGACGGGGCCATTCAAGTTCTTGGCTCGCAGTGGTGACTACTCGATGATAGCGCTGGAATGCGATCGCAGCGTGCCACTGGACATGGAGCAGCGATTGTTTCTCAAGGCAGCTTTGATGCAGATGCTGCGCACATGCATCGATATCTTCAACAAGCACACCTCCGTTGACTACGACCACTGGCTCGAGGACCCGATCTTGTTACAGATCTTTCAAGAAGTGTTCCAGCGACACATGTCCGTCCTTGGTGTCATGTGTTCACTGCGACCCTGGCATCGCAAGGTTCCGGATCCTTACCTCAGCTCTGCCTGTGCTCCCCTACGGCTACTTGTCAGTGGCAACATGAAGCGCTGGCAGGTGCACGCTGTGGAGGACATGCGTCTCATGAGCCACGGCCAGCTGCACGCTGAAGTTGATGAGGCGGACTGGCATTTTCACTTCTTTGGCGTCAAGGATGGTGATCCTGGAGCAGACTTGCCAGATCTTGGCAATCCTGACGGTCCTCGGGGTTCTTCCTCTAAGGCTGGCCGCCCTGCGGCTCCGTATCCATCGGCTCCGTCCGAAAAAAATGATGGGAGGGACCCCTCTTTGCCATCTTCTTCGGCTGCACCACCTCAAGTACCACAAGCACAAGCAGACGAAGAAGCAGCAGAGGACGATGAAGGTGAAGAGTTTGAGGCAGTTCTTCCGGAAGCCGATGGTGAAGGCGAAAAGGTTCTCAAGCCCCTCTTCGACTTCAAGAAAGTCTTCAAAAGACTTCAGAGCGGGCTGATTGAGAAGGACCCCAACACTGCAAGGCGATTGTTGCTGGGACCACATGAGCGGTTCTACCACGCCCCCATCGGTGACTTCAAGAACATGCTATTTGGGGCCGGACTGACCTCTGACATTCTTTCCTTGGCCGAGGATGCAGTGATGTCATGTTCTATTTGTCGGAAGTATGTGAGGCTGCCCAACAGGCCACAAGTTCGAATTGGAGCAGGGGCTGGCATCTTCAATATGCGGGTGCAGATTGACTTGTTCCAGTACCGGGAAGTATGGATCCTTCTGATCATCGACGAGGCCACACGGTACAAGGCAGCGACCTCGGTCATGTCCAAGGACTTCAATGAGGTGACCAGGAAGATGATGGAGTGTTGGATTTCAGTGTTCGGACCTCCGGCGCAGCTTGTCAGTGACCAAGAGCAAAGTATCATGTCTCATGAGGCCGGACGGGAACTTGAAAGACTTCAGATTGAACGCGTTCCAAAGGGGTCAACGTCCGGCGAGGCAGGCAAGCAGCACACCGGCGCCGGCTTGGTGGAGAGACACATCGGGCTTCTTGAGCTCACCATGAAGAAGGTCGAAGCTGAGCTCGATCGCCAGGGGATATCAATACTTCCACACGAGTTGGCCAAGGAATGCGCGATGTCACACAACATGAGCCTCAACTATGGAGGAGCCATGCCATCGATGGCCGTGTTCGGAGTGCTCCCTCGTCCGTTTTATCAAGAAGACCATCAAGGAGTGGTGGCTCTGTCAGGAGCACTTAAGACGGACATCACGCCGTTTGAGCGGGCACTCAGAATTCGCCAAACAGCCCTCTCGATGGTTCAGGCGGCAGTGGCTGAGGACAGAGTGGCTCGAGCAAATCGATCGAGGCCACATCAGCTCAAGTTGGACGAGATGATCCCCGGCACCACCAAGGTCGACTACTACCGAGAAGTGCAAGGAGACGTCGGTTGGCGAGGCCCTGCGGAGTTGCTCAAGGTGAATCGACAAGAGGGGAACGCCATCTTGTCGTACCAAGGAAGGCCTTACCTGGTGTCACTGAGGCACATCCGACCCCACCAGGCAGGCGTCTTCATCACTTTGTCCGGGTCCAGGAGAGCGACTTCAACTTCCTCCGGAACCTCGTCGAGCAACTCTCCCCATACAAGGCGGTTACCGTCGGATGGGTAGTGGAACAACAGAAAGAAGCGACGGTCTGGCGCAAGGCCTCCACCTCTTCGTTGTCATTCCACGAAATCTGGGGCCACATCGAAGGCGTTGTCTACGCGGGCAGTCGGTGGAGCTGTGATGGGACAAGGTCTGAGAACCGTGCATGTTCCACGATCTTCGGTTGGAGTACTGCTGTTCTGGAACACCGACGATCCGAAGCTTCACTGCTACGAGCACAACAATGACAACCCCATCATCATGAAAAGGGTGACTGCGGTGAAGACCGACAAGGTCTGATTCGTGTTCGTCTACTACCATGCCTTTCCGGCGTATGAACCAGACAAGCCTGCGAAGGTGCTTCCCTCCGAAGGCTATGATGACGAGCCAATGAACAGTGAGAATGGCCTGGGCGGAACCATGATCACGGGCGACATGACACCCTCAAGGTCCGACGTGTCGATGTCACCAACCTCACCTACTACCAGCACAAGTGACCAAACAATGCCCGATGCGGGTTCCGACGTGGAACACTCTGGGAAACGAAAGGGACCCGACAGCCGTACTGTGGTGCTAGCTCCAGAGACGAAGAGGAGCAAGATTGAGGAGCTCCTCTCCCTGGTCGGCTCGAACCAGGTGCACACGATATCCCAGCACAACCTCATCAACTTGTACTGGGTGATGCACTGGACTCAGGCCGTGCCACTGGAGTACCTGGCTATCTGGCAGTCCTTCGAGAACTCGGTCTACATTGCCCAGTGGGATGACTACATGAGCAGGCTGGGCAATAGCAGGCTGGGCAATTGCAGCACCGTCGAGGATGCCACGCCGAGGCATGATTATTTGTTCGTGTGGCCCGGCAAGGTGAACCGCGAGCTCTATGCGGACCTTCAGACTGCACAGATCTTCAAGGTCGACGAGTCCACTGACAACCTGGACGAGGAAGCATGTTATAATATTTGGCCTGAAGTTGAGGAAGCCGACGCTGCGGAAGTCAAGCAGTTTGTGGAGACCAAGTCCTTTGAGCCGATGCACCGCAACGCTATGCCCCATGACATTGTGATCGTGGATGCCGTTTGGGTCAGAAAGTGGAAGCGACTTCCCAACGGCCAGCGGAAGGTCAAATCACGCCTCTGCGCGCGTGGGTGCTTTGATCGGCAAAAGGATATGCTCAGCACGAGGAGCACGACAGCGACGAGGCTATCTCAACGAGTGCTGGTCTCTTCGGCCTCAACGCACGACTTGGACCTCGAGAGCTGGGATGTCAGTGGCGCTTTTCTGAAAGGTTTCTCATTCGAGAAGATTCGTGAACTTCTGCGAGCGAAAGGAATAAGTACCCCTATTCGCAAGGTGGCGATCATTGCGCCGGCCAATGTGTGGCGGCACTTGGCAACGTTTGACCAGAAGTTCCGGATTGACATCACGAAGGTTGCTGAGTACCTTCTGCTCTGCATCAAACCGGTGTACGGCCTATCGGACGCCCCATTGGCGTGGCAGTTGTGCCTGCATACGCACTTTGAGGAGCAGAAGGGCAAACCTTCTTTGATGGATGAGAACTACTTCTACTGGCGCAACGACAAGGACCAGTACGCGGCTGGAGTCACGACTCATGTGGATGACTGCGGGGCTGCCGGAAAGAAGAAGTGGCTGGACGAACAGTATGAACTCCTCGTGAAGAAGTTCGGGAAGGTCACGAGACAACGGCTTCCTTTCACCAACTGCGGAGTGCTATACAGCAGGACCCCCGATGGACTCCTCATGTCGCAGGACGATTTCTGCGAGAAGCTGCGACCAGCGTCCATCGATACAGGACGCAAAGATGAGGACCCTTTGACGGCATCCGAGCTGACCACCTTCCGGAGCCTATTGGGCGGTCTGCTATGGTTGACAGCCACGAGGCTGGATTTGGTGTCGGATGCCTGTCTGCTGCAGTCACAGGTGACGAAAGCCCGGATATCGCACTTGAGGCAGGCCAACAATGTCGTGAAAAGGGCCAGAGCAGAGCATGGACAAAAGCTGGGATTGCATTTTCGGAAATTGCATCCCCCCCTGCGGCTATGCTGCGTACATGACTCCTCAGCCGCAGGAAATGTGAGGAACTACGCCCATGAGGGCATCCTGGTGTTGCTCTGCGAGGACAAGATCCACCGCTGCAGCCGCGACAACGAGGTCGTGATCGAAGACGGCAGTACACACCAGTTTGGTGGTCGCGCGCACATCCTTTGGGCGCACGGTGCAAAAGCGAAGAGGATCTCGTATTCTACGAGCCACGCGGAAACCTTGGCAGCGGTTTCAGGCATGGAAGCGAGCACCCTCGTAGCTGTGAGACTGGCCGAATTAATGTTTCTGCCAGGGCGACCCACGCTCCAACAGCTGATCGCCGCGCAGGAGCAAGGGATCAGTCGATTGCCCGTCGACTGTATGACGGACTGTCGAGACTTCTTCGAGCTCGCCAGTGGGGATAAGTCGGTGCCACAGGACAAGAACCAGAGGTTGTACGTTTTGGCGTTCCATGAAGCACGCATGCTGGGCAGGCTCCGATGGATGATTCTCTGCCCAACCGAGTCGATGACGGCGGACGCCCTGACAAAGTCCATGTTGGCGCCGCCCCTGATGAAGCTTCTTAGCTCAGGCATGGTGGAGTTTTACAACGAGGGCGACCACAAGCTCACTATGCGAGCATTCCACGACTTCCTTCAGTTGATGAAGGACACTTCGATATGACGGACAAGGAGTTGATCAAGGAAGTGGCTACTTTGGCCGCCGCGTCGTACATGGCCGCTGAGAAGACGCGCTTTGTTTGGACTGCGCTCATCATGAGCACGATGCTGCCAACTGCTACAGCGACTTCTACGACTACTGCGACTTCAACGAGCTCCACGGCATGGGACGACATGACATGGTTGTTCACCATGGTTATTGGCGTGATCATTGCAGAGCGATTATTGATGCAGTCGTTTCGACTCTGGTGGCGACATCTCTTTGGTACCACGACCTCGGCGTCTACTACCTCTACACCGGTGGACATGGACGTGGATAACAGTGACGACCAGATGGATGTGGATGAAGCATGCATCGCAGACACCGCACCTGTTCCCGACACTACCGAGCTCAACGGGATCAAGGCGGAACTCGAGTACTACAAGTCCCTGTGTCACAAGAGATGGCCAGAGCTCGAACGAGCAAGAGAGCTATGTGACAATCGATGGAAAACCAGCAGCTATCCAAACAGCTCGAGGCTGAGAAAGCCCGGAGAGCAACCCACAATGAAGTGCACGCCACGAGTGCAACCGGCAAGGTTTACCACAGTAGTCGTACCTGTTATCATATCAGGTCTAACATGAACGTCAAGACGATGCGGCCCTGCCACGACTGCTGTGGGTAACATTGCCTTAGTCAGGAACCGTGAGCGGAGTGAAGAATTGTACAGTTGTCTGA